GAAATTGTGCAAACTTCAGAGGACGGCAGAAGACAGGAGGGCCTGGCGGGAGCTGGTCCATGGGGTCCCGAAGAGTCAGACTCGACTGTGCGACTGAACAACAACAACAATGATTCATAGGGGTAAGGGAGGACAACATATAAATCTTTTTAAGTTGCACACATTTGCTGTAGACTTAGACATGTTCCAGACGGCATTCACTCGGCTTGGCTTGATGACGTCAGTTTTTCCAGGACTGCTTCGAGTTGCAGCGTCGCACTGCCACCGCCTGGCCGGATTGGCCCATCGCAGGCTTTTTAATGCTGAAGGGATCTTTCCAGGCTTCCGAGCTGGACATTCCCTTTTGCCAGCTTCATTGAATGCCCTCGAGCTCTAGTACTTGGAGAGAAGGAGAAAGATTCCCCTTCGTTGATTCTCTCCACCGCATGCATAATTGTATAAACATCTCTCATGTTCCCCCTTAGTCACCTCTTTTCTAAACTGAAGCAATGCTCCCTCTAAGTTGTGGAGTCCTGTGAGCAAAAATTCTACTTTGTGAGCTACTGGCATTCAAGTTGTGAGCGAGTGATTTGGCTACTGCATGAATTAGTTTGCTCTGCAGCCGTCTTTCCTGAGCTAAGACAAATATGTGTGAGCCAGAGGCTAAAAAACTGTGAGCTAGCTCAGACTAACCCAGCTTAGAGGGAACACTGCTTTCAAGTCTCAGACTCTTCAGCCTTTCCTCATAGGGGAGGTGCTCCAACCTCCTAATCATCTTGGTCGTCCTCCTCTGACCCTTGGGATCCCGTCCAGCTCTATGTTTCTAATTTGGGAGGAGGGAAAATCCTGAGTGTACTGCTGTTGTCGGTGGATAGTCTTGTAGTGTGCTCTGGTAATCAAGTAGAAGAAGAGATCGGATTTATACCCCACCCTTCACTACCCAAAGGAGTCTCAGAGCGGCTTACAAACTGCTTTCCCTTCCCCTCCCCACAACAGGCACCCTGTGAGGTAGGTGGGGCTGAGAGAGCTCTGACAGAAAGTGCTCTTTTTTCAAGAACAGCTGTGCCAGAACTATGGCTTGCCCAAGGTCATCCACCAGCTGCAAGTGGAGGAGTAGGTTCTCCCAGATTAGAGTCTGTGCACTTAACCACTACACCAGACTGTCTCTCTCTCAAAGTATTAACCCCAGGACTAGCCGATGTGTCATAGCTCTGCAGAACCGATTTTTCATCCCCACAGCATACCGATTTACTGCCAGAAATTCACTTCTGTTACACTGAAGCTGGGAATTGTGGGGTCGGGATTAAGATTGCCAGCGGCCTGGAAGAAAAGAATGTCCTGCCCTTACGATAGAGGCTGAATCTGTGGAAGTGAGCGGAGTCGCTGAAGCTTCAGGCATGGAGGTAAATAACATTAACTGGGAAATGACACATCCCGTTAAGCTAAGGCTGCTGGCAACTGGGATTAAAAACGCTCTGTAGTTTTAGCCAAGGCTGGATGAAATGTCATCTATCGGCTTGCCAGGAAAATCTCCCAACTGCTCGTTTCCAAACATTTCAATCTCTGTTAGAGGAGCAGGTGTCAGGCCCTCCAGTCCAGTCACTCTCAACAACTCTCTTTTGGCAGTGATAAGTTTATTGAGATATATGCAAGATCCAGGAAGTCACTGTGTCAGAACTGAAGTCTTTAGGCAGGTACAAGCTTAATATAGATAATTTGAAGAAAAGTCCCTTCCTTCCCCCAAGCATACGTCACATTTACACCACGCCTAACGTTGCCATCCCGACCAAATGAAAGATATATTGGTCCGAATCTTCCACAGCTAACAATGTTTTCTCATGAAGATGTTTTTGGCTGATAAAACCAAAGTATAAATCAATCATAATAAAGCTATTTAATTCTTGACATGGCCAAATTTGTGGATAGTTGGATCCGTAAACAAACAAGACAGATGTTTCTACAAAAACTCTGAAATTTAAAACGTTGTTGTTAGCCATTCAGTCATGTTCAAATCGGCAAAATATTTTGATCTTGTCAGCCAAAAACATCTTCATGAGAAAACATTCTTAGCTGAGGAAGATCCGGACCCGATCAGGGACTATTTCCATAGGGTCTCCATAGGGTATAATGATCCTCCCCAGTTGTGGGGGAGGGGGGGCGGTGGCAGCAGGCTCCCATCATTGAAGGGAAGGCAAATTGCCTTCCCTTCAATGAAGGGAGTGTGCTGCCACCACTGCAACTCCAGAGAGGGGGGATTTAAACTTTAAACCCCCTCAGTCTTTGGAGTCTCTCCGCAGAGGCAGCACACTCCTTTCAGATGTTTCTGCCTGGCAGCAGGGCCAGCGCTGGCCCCACTGTCATGCAGACGCTTCTGCTGGGTCACCCTTTCTCCTCCCCCCCTTCCCTTCGCCCCACTTGGAGGTGAGGTGAAGGGAATGGATCCCTGATGCTTCTGCCTGTCAGAGGGGCTGGCACGCTGGCCCCTCTGTCAGGCAGAAGAAGCCCTGGATTCCCTTTCTCTCCCCCCCTTTCCCTTTGCCCCACTTGGAGGTAAGGAGGTGGGAAAGGAATGGATCCCTGACGCTTCTGCCTGTTAGAGGCCTTTCTCTCCCTCCCTTTCCCTTCACCCCGCTTGGAGGTGAGGCGAAGGAAAAGCAGGTGGGAGGAGTTTACTTGTTACTCCCAGAACACCGTTCCTGCCCGTTCCTGCTCGAAATGACCCCTGGGCCCTCCGTCTTCTTGGTTATCTGCCGCTCCAGCTGGTACAGAGAAGCGCTCAAGGACACCTTCCCCTGGGAAAGGGAGAGGAGGTGCGACTTGTGAAGAAAGTTATGACTGCTAGAAGCAAAGGTCCCAGTCTCTCACTCATTCACTCAACCCCCCCCTTCCCACAGGAATCCCTCCCCCCATAACTGAGGCAACCAAGGCGAGCAAAGCAATTTGTTTTTTCCTCCAGGCTATTGGCAACTCCACAATGGCTGCTCTCCTACTCGGAAGAACACCGGGCACCATATAATAAAGTCACAGCAAATGATTCAAAGTCAAATATTTTCTGTATATCTCCCTGTTCTGTCCAGACCAGCTTGCAAAGGTGCTTGTAACTACAGAACCAAGTTTTGAGTCCAGTGGCACCATTAAGACCAACGAAGTTTTATGCTAGGTGTAAGCTTTCCTGGGTACGCCAGCTTCTTCAGATACATCAGGACAGAAATCAACAACCATTACATATAGGTAGATGGTACCCACCAACCTGAATCTGCTTGTAACCAAATAGGAGATAGGAGGGGGTTGGAGAGGAGATTGGGGGGATACACAAGTTTTTAGGGTATACAAAAATGGGAAAGGGGGAGGGGGAAGGACCAAAAATAATGTCTTCTGCATATAATTCTCTGCTTATCATTTCACATTACAAAGTGTGAGATTTTAAAAGTTCACAAAGGCTTCTTCATATTATAATATTAAGGCGCTCATATCTTTGTATTTCTTTCTTATCCAATTATAAAACGGAGTCCGAAATCTTCTTCCATTTGCCCTTTTAACATATTTATTTATTTATTTATTATTGAGTTGACTTTTATCTCACCCTCCCCGTGGAAGCGGGCTCAACATCAATTTGTCCATTTCCACACTCGCCATAGTCTTCACTATTAAGTCGTGTTCAGAAGATATTGTTGGAAGTTTCCAATAAGATGCAAATAAAATTCTAGCTGCAAGTTACTCCATGAATGATAAAATGTCTTTGGTTATTATCAAAGTCATCTGGTACACAAGTCAATAAAAACAATTCTGGTCAAAAAGGCATTGAAGTCTGCAAAACTGTCGGTATAAAAGTATGTAAAAAAAAGGTTCCCTTGCTCAAAAGCCAGTCGAATCCGACTCTAGGGTTGCAGTGCTCATCTCCGTTTCCAAGCCGAAGAGCCAGCGCTGTCCGAAGACGTTTCCGTGGTCATGTGGCCGGTATGACTAAACACCAAGGCACACGGAACACTGTTACCTTCCCACTGAAGTGGTACCTATTTATCTACTTGCAATTTCTTGCTTTCGAACTGCTAGGTTGGCAGGAGCTGGAACTAGAGAGGGGCACTCACTCTGTCATGCGGCACCTGGGTCTCGAACTGCTGAACTACCGACCTTCCACAGCCTGCAGTTCAGCGTCTTGACCACTTGAGCCACCGCAGCTCCTTATAAAAGTATGTACCATAATAACCCAAAACTTACATACTGTATCCCATGTCCACCACATATGGTAGAACAGACCCACAGATGGCAAAGATTGGACTATGGATGCAGACTTCCAAACTACACAGTTACTTCCCTTGGAGAAAATGGCTGTTTTGGAGGTGGATTCTATGGCATTATACCTCCTCGGAAAAAGGTAAAAGTCGGATCTACATGGATCCTCAAGAATTCATATGTTTTTTACATTGAAACGAAATAAAACTACCATCATATCTGACTTTTACCCAGACCCTACCTCCTCTGCAAATCCCACCTTCCTCAGGTTCTACCCCAAATCTCCCGGAGTTGGCAACCCTCTTAAAAACCTCTGCAGCGCACAGGGAAACCCAATCTTATGCTCGTTTACTCAAAAGTAAGGTCCTCTGAGTTCAACGGGCCTTCCTCCCAAATAAGTGTTGCACAGATTAACATGTCTACGTCCCCCACCCCACCCCCGGTAAAAAAAACCGCTTCCTTATTTGGGTTGTGGACATTTAAAAAGTTCCTATCATCATGGCCGAGTTCGCCACTGAGGCTCATGGGGCTTGTAGTTTGTCTCTGCCTTGCGGCGGCTGCGCATCACGGGCTTGGGAACAGTTCCGCCGGGCGCAACCAGAACGGGACTCTGCGGTGATAGACACAGCAGAGCATGACGGGAGTCGTAGTCTTAACGTCAACAGCGACCGTTGCGGCCTGCCGTTAGGCGGAAATTCCTCGGACTCCGCTTCCCACAAGCCGTCGCGCCGGCCGGTAGAGGCTAATGGCACTGTCGGACTCGGGCAAGGAGTGTTCTGTAATTAAGGGTCCGAAGAGCGACCAGGGAGACGATGCTGTAGTTCCTGCCCGGGAGGTGAGTTTCGGGAGGGGGAGGTAACAATTTAGTCCTGGAATCTGAGCCCAGTCCTGAGTCGTTGGGAGGGATAGAGTGGCAGGGACTCTGGGCGTGTGCAAAGTGCTGCCTCCTTGTATTGCAGGGACTGGGCTTTAGGGGTAAATAGCTGCGACGTTTTCCTTCCCCTTCCTTGCGAGGTCGTTAGAGGTGACAGCTCTGCGTTCCTGGCAATGGGGCAGAGGGAGACAAGGGAGGGTTGAGAAAAAGGGGCGGAGAGGCCAGTCAGGCCACCATGCTCCACTAGCCCTCTTCACAAGTAGGGTTGTCAATCTCTCCAGGTGGTGGCTGGAGATCTCCTGGGATTACAACTGGTCTCCAGGCGACAGATCAGTTCACCCGGAGAAAACAGCCACTTTAGAAGATGACCTGTATGGCATTCTACACGGCTGGAGACTAGAGATGTGAAGGAAAAATTCGGGGGGGGAAACCAGTTTTTTTTCCTGAAGCCCTTTTTGGGTTTTTTTTGAAAAATTGAAAAAGAAAAGAAAATTGATTATGGAACGTTTTATCTTAACACGATGAATAAAATGTTTTAAGACAAGGTGTTCAAATGTTTTCCAAATCATTTCTAAAATATATAGAGAGATGGTATCAGATTGATCTAATTTCTGTGCACTGAGGACAAGCAAGTCCTAGGTTACAAGCTGAATTCTCCAATGCAAGAACAAGATGCATTTCTTCCTTTAGGAGGTACTATGGTCACAAGAAAAGAAAAAAGGTTTCAGGTTTTGTGTTTGCATGTGGGTGGGTATTCTGTTGGTAATAATTGTTTGGATACACTATATTTTTAAGATGCTAGTTGTGATAATTTCATGCCAAGTAAAAATGTCCACAGTCATATTTTATGTTCCTAAAGTAACAGAATGACTTTCAATCTGGAAATAAAAAAGAAGTGCTGATATAGCATTTTTTCAATTTTTCCGAAAATGTCATTTTTTTCTGTGGAAAAATGGGTTTTTCCCCGAGCTTTCCGGAAATTTTACATCTCTACTGAAGACCTCGCCTCCGCCAAACCCCACCTCCTAAATATCCAGGTATTTCCCTGCCCAGAGCTGGCGACCCTATTGAACATGGTGTACAATCCATGCACAGTGTTAAGTTATATAAATAAATTGATTTTATTCATGGCAAGAGCCAGCTAGTGCTGGGGTGTCGAACTCATTTGCTATGAGGGCCGGATCTGACACAAATAAGGCCTTGTTGGGCCGGGCCTTGTGTGTCATAAAATGAATTGCCAGGTAACGGAGATATAAACTTTATAAAGGACACAAACACAAAGGGTGGTTTTTTTTACTTAAAATAAAAAAACATGCTTAAAACATCAGCACTCTAGCAATATTTTGTTCATTAAACAGTGTCTGATAACTGACACCTCTTGCTCTGCATCATTGCATCAAAATATCAGTGCTGTTGCAATCTTGAGTATGCTGTTCAGGTGTGTATCTATAAGCTGCAAACCTACGATGACGCAGCAGCAGCAGAACTGGAAGAAGAAGCAGAAGACAGCCAGTTCCATTGTGGGCCTGATAGAAGCCCTCCAAGGGCCTGATCCGGCCCCCGGGCCGCATATTTGACACCCTGAGCCAGTGTTGAGTTATATGTGCATTGAATAATTCTCATGTTCAGCTGCTCATGTACGGCTGAACCTGTGATTCAAATAGGGTTGCCAGCTCTGGGTTTAGAAATACCTGGAGATTTGAGGGTGGGGTTTAGGGAGAGGTGGGAACTCTGTAGGGTTTTTACACTTTTACATCAGCTTGGACTGACTGCTGATTGACTTCCTGGACCAAATCAGATTTTGCTTTTTGACCTGCAAAGACCTAAACCGGGGTGGCCAAACTTGGTTAACGTAAGAGCCATATAGAATAAACGTTAGATGTTTGAGAGCCGCAAGACATGAACAAATATTAGACACACGTTTTTATTGGAAATTATGCACATTTGCTTTTTATTAACATTAAATGAGATGGCCAAAAATAAAAACAAAAGAGGTAAAAACAGATATTGATAATGATATTTATTTGTCCAATGATATTTGTTTGCTAATGATATTTGTCTAAGAGAGAGAGAAAGAGAGAGAGAGGTGGAAAGAAAGCGAGAGAAAGAAACAAAGCAAATAGATGGGGGGGGAAGGAAGGAAGAGAGAGAGAGAGAGAGAGAGAGAGAGAGAGAAAAGAAGAAAGGAAGGGAGAAAGAGAGCAGAGAAAGAAAGCAACTTTAAATGCACCCTCCAAGCCCTCCCCATGCTGGCTGGCTGGCTTGGCTTGGAGAAGGGATCATAGAATGTGAGAGTTGGAAGGGACCTCGCAGGTCATCTAGTCCAACCCCTGCACTCTGCAGGAGCATAGCTGAAAAAGAGCCCTACAACATACCCGAAAGATGGTCCGCTTGAAAACGTCCAGTGAAGGAGCCTCCACCACCTCCCGAGGCAGTCTGTTCCACTGCTCAACCACTCTGACAGTTAGGAAGTTTCTCCTGATACCTAGCCGGTAACGACTCACTTATAAATGGGGTTGGATTTAAAGAGACAAATCCCTTCTCCAAGCCAGCTGGCAGGGGAGGGGCTTTGAGATCTCATTGAAAGTTAATGTTACTTTCTTTCTCCGCCCCCCCCCCACACACCCACCTCAAGCCTACCCATAATAATGCCCCTATATAAATCAATGGTGAGACCTCATTTGGAATACTGTGTGCAGTTCTGGTCACCACACCTTAAAAAGGATATTATAGCTTTGGAAAAAGTGCAGAAAAGGGCAACTCGAATGATAAAAGGGTTGGAACCCTTTCCCTATGAGGAAAGGTTAAGCGCTTAGGGCTCTTTAGCTTGGAGAAAAGACGACTGAGGGGTGACATGATCGAGGTTTATAAGATTATGCATGGGAAAGAGCAGGTAAAGAAAGAGGTACTTTTCTCCCTTTCTCGCAATACAAGAACTCGTGGGCACTCCATGAAACTGCAGAGCGGTCGGGTTAGGACGGATAAAAGGAAGTACTTCTTCACCCAAAGAGTGATTAACACATGGAATTCACTGCCACAGGAAGTGGTGGGTGCTACAAGCATGGACGGCTTCAAAAGGGAATTAGATAAGCATATGGAGCAGAGGTCCATCAGTGGCTATTAGCCACAAGGTATAGCTAGGGGCTCTGGGGCAAGTGATGCTCTGTCTTCTTGGTGCTTGGGGGGGGGTCAACAGTGGGAGGGCTTCTAATGTCCTGGCCCCACTGCTGGACCTCCTGATGGCACTGGTATTTCTGGCCACTGTGTGACACAGAGTGTTGGACTGGATGGGCCTTTGGCCTGATCCAACATTGGCGTCTCTTATGTTCTTATGTTATGTTCAAGGAGGGGGAAACTAGCTGGGGAAAGGAAGACCGATCGGTGAGGCATGCCTCCCCTTCATTTCCCCAGCCGCCCTGCCGGGAGCCGCGTGTGGCTCCCAAGCCGCAGTTTGGCCAACCCTGACCTAAACAGAAGACCTGAAGGACCTCCCTTCTCCTGCTCATCAGGGGAGCCCCCGATCTGTAGACCTTCGCGATGAGTGTCTACATGAGACAGGGCCTTCTCAGTGGTGGTGCCCAGCAGGGCTCTTCTTCAGTTATCATATGTCCTGCCTGGCCCCTGTTTCCTAACGGTCGCCTTCGGAGTGGTCGCTGCCGAGGAGCAAGTGCGTCTCATCATTCCTGCGTGGTCCAATGGCTGTTTCTGTTTCTCTCGCAGAGGCAGAGAAGAGGTGCCGATGGACGCTTTGCCCGTCACGCCGGGGGAGCTGCTGTGCTTGGGCTCCAGTCTGGCCTTTTCTGGGCTGTTCTATTACCTGCACAGAAGGAAAGCCAAGGTGGCCTCCAAGATCCAGGTATGCCCTCAGGATGCTTCTCTCTCCCCCCCCCCCTTTCTGGAGAATGAAGAATGACATTTCTATAACTGGTTTGAAGTGTTCAGAGTTTGTTGTTGTTCAGTCGCACCGTCGAGTCCGACTCTTCGCGGCCCCATGGACCACACCCATCAGGCCCTCCTGTCTTCTGTCGTCCTCCAGAGTTTGCTCAATTTCATGTTTGTTGCTTCGATAATACTGTCTAGCCCAGAGGTGTCAAACATGCGGCCCGGGGGCCGAATGAGCCCCCCCCCCCCCCCGCGGGGTTTCCCTCGGGCCCGCACGGACGCGGCTGTCTTCTGCTGCTTCTTCCAGTTCTGCTGCTACTGCGTCATTGTAGGTTTGCATCTTACAGATACACACCCGAACAGCATACTCAAGATTGCAGCAGCACAGACATTTTGATGCAATAATTCATAGCAAGAGGTGTCAGTTATCAGACACTGTTAAATAAACAAAATATTGCTAGAGTGCTAATGTTTTAAGCATGTTTTTATTTTAAGTAAAAAAAACACCCCAACCTTTGTGTTTGTGTCCTTTATAAAGTTTGTATCTCCGCCACCTGGCATTACATTTTATGACACACATGGCCCGCCCCAGCAAGGTCTCGTTTATGTCAGATCCAGTCCTCATAACAAATTAGTTCGACACCCCTCGTCTAACCTTTGCCGTCCCCTTCTTTTTTTTACCTTCAATCTTTCCCAGCATCAGAGTCTTCTCCAGTGTGGGCTCCCTTCTCATTTGGTGACAGGGGGAGGAGAGGGGTCAGCGGCTGTACAAGCGCAGCCTGGCCCAGCTGAAGGGGCGTCCCTCCAGCCAGCCGATCTGCCACGGGTCTTTCCACTGCTCTTGTCGCCACCCGCCACCTTCCTCTTCCTTGCTCACAGGCCAGATAACAGACCTGGATGGGCCAGTTCCGGCCCCCGGGCTGTATGTTTGACACCCATGCTCTCTAACCTCTCCTCCACGCTAGATCACCCCAGGGGGAGCAATGTTTCACTTCATGCCCGCTTGTGGCAGCTTGACAGCTGTTGTGGGATGCAGGATGCTGGCCTGGAGGAGTCTTCGGTCTGATACAGCATCTCTGCCCTTTTTTTCTCTTTTTTTTAAATACTTGCCCAAATGGGTAAAGTTTATTAGTTTTTAAGAATTACACCAAACCAAACAAAGAAAGAGCAATACCTTTTTAAAATACCTAGACATTGTCTCGCTCACAACATCTTTAGATACATAGTTCCTCTTTCCTCCTTGTTTAACTTCCACAACAAATATCATTAATCAAAATTCTATACCCAGTATATAGTTCATTTTTCTAAATCCTATCTGCTATATTTCATTTTATCTATGCTACCCTATTATTGGTCAGTTTTATAATCATAAAAATAGGAAGGGAAAGAAACAGGTGTTTCAACAGTTTAACAGTTCTAATTTAGTCACATATTTCTTGTATAACAATAATTTGGTCCCTTTAAGATATTCCTTCACCTTTTTAGCTTTCAAAATCTCATATAGTTGCAACCGTAAACATAGTATTTTATATTTTTCTTAGCTTTACAGTGCCAATATATTTTCACCTTACTCTATGTAACTCCATCTTTTCTCTCACTATAGTAAATCATTACATCTTCTCTAGGTGATCAGCCCATTACTATTTTTCCCCCTGCAAAGCCCACTCTAAAAATCAAACTGTCCTATAAGGTTTTTTCCCTCAACCTTCAGTTAGAACATTACAGATATCCCAAACCTGTTGTTTCAAATAGACCAGCCATTACTTTTAACTTTCACTAATCAATTGGAACGATAAAAATAGTCAATATTTATAATTACAGATTATATTCTTAGTCAATCATTTTGCAAGTGTCAGTATGGGTTCAAAGGGAAAAAAAGAATATAGTATGTAGACATGTATTTCTTAACATTTAAGGTTCCCCTTTGAATAAAACTTTGTCTCATTGATATATTATGTATAAGTTCAGAGTACAGAAAGAGAAAGGAAGAAGGAGAGGGGGGGGAAATAAACCAGTATTCTTCGCAGTTATTCCACTTTGTCTCCTTGATCAGTTAAAACATCAAAACAGTCAGGATATGTTGTTACAGATACTTACAACTTGATCAGTTAAACCATGCAAACAGTCAGGATATGTTGTTACAGATACTTATAAAATATAAGTTTCTTTTGTTTTCTCTGCAAATGTCTCTGCCCTTCTCACGGGACGGTGGCTTCCTTATGGCTGCCGGGTGAATTTTCAGCTCTAGGCAGGCTTGACCTGGGGAGTTCACGATCCCCGCCAGCTCCCTCTCCAACGCTTCTGTTTGCGCTCTTCCTCTCTTGCAGGAGGCTCCAAAGCTTCAAGTTGGCGACGATCTCCCCGGCATCCTCTCCGCCACGGGTACCGGCTGCCTGAGCTATGTTGCCGTTGAAGGTAAAAGGCTTGCAGGCCTGTCTGAAGAGGGGATGGCAAGACCCTGACTGCTCACCAGTGTTCCCTCTAAGCTGAGTGAGTGTGAGCTAGCTCACAGTTTTTTAGCCTCCGGCTCACAGATTTTTGGCTCAGCTCAGGAAGGAGGGCTGCAGAGCAAACTCATTTGTGCAGTCGCCAAATCGCCGGCCCACAACTTTAATGCCAGCAGCTCACAAAGTGGAATTTTTGCTCACAGGACTCCACAGCTTAGAGGGAGCATTGCGCCTCACCCCTCCCCGTACCCTTCGCCAGGGGTTCAAAGCCAGGAAGGCTCTGAATTCCGTTCTTCCATGCCAGTTATGCAAGCGGAAATCCACAAAATCCGGGGTTGGGATTTACAGCAGGCTTATTTTTAAAAAGCAGCAAATCACCTCCAGGTGAGCCAGGACAGAGTTTTGCGGAAGGAGTTTTTCTTTTCCATCATCTCTGATATCAGCATCCCCAGAAGTCGCAGTTTAGTGCATTACTAATGCCTTGGAAACGGATCAGAAATCCAGGATGCGCCCCAGGTTCCGAATTCATTGTTCAATTTGTAATTTTTTCCCCTGATCCAAATCGTGGGTTGTTAGATGATCATAGAATCATAGAGTTGGAAGGGACCTCCAGGGTCACCTAGTCCAACCCCCTGCATAATGCAGGAGATTCACAAATACCTCCCCCCAACACCCCCAGTGACCCAGAAGATGACAAAAAACCCCTCCATGATCCCCAGCCGAACTGGCCTGGAGAAATGCAGATGGTTTTCTTGAGATCTCTTCTCTGCTGTAGAATCCTCCAAGGCAGGATTTGAAGAAGAAGAAGAAGAGGAGGAGGAGGAGGAGGAGGAGGAGGAGGAGGAGAAGATGATTGGATTTATACCCCACCCTTCACTCGGAGTCTCAGAGCGGCTGACAAACTCCTTTCCCTTCCCCTGTGAGGTGGGTGGGGCTGAGAGAGCTCTGACACAAACGGCTCTTTCAGGAACAGCTGGGCCAGAGCTTGTGACTGACCCAAGGTCACATCAGCAGGTGCAAGTGGAGGAGTGGGGAATCAAACCCGGTTCTCCCAGATTAGAGTCCGCACACTTAACCCCTATACTGGTTTTTTGCTCCATTTATACCCTGCCTTTCTTCCCACTGGGGACCCAAAGCAGCTTAGGATGCTCCCCTCCCCTCCATTTTATCCTCACAACAACCCAGTGGGGTAGGACAGGCTGAGAGTTCGTGACTGGCCCCAGGGCGCCCAACGGGTTTCCGTGGCAGAGTGGGGACTTGAACCCGGGTCTCCCAGATCCTAGCTTGATACTCCTGCCACTACCCCACACTGGCTCAGACTGTCCAGTGTCCCAGGTATGGCTGAAACGGCCATCCAGGGGTGCCAGGATGCAAGGAGAACAGTTTGTAATACGAACCTCCCCACTAAGGCAGTTGAGAGCCAGTTTGGTGTAGCGGTTAAGAGTGGCGGACTCTAATCCGGGAGAACCGGGTTTGATTCCCCACTCCTCCACGTGCAGCTGCCGGTGTGACCTTGGGCCAGTCACAGGTTCTCTCAGAGCTGTTCTCTCGGGAGCAGTCCTCGAAAGCAGTCCTCGAAAGAGCTCTCTCAGCCCCGCCTACCTCACAGGGTGTCTGTTGTGGGGAGGGGAAGGGAAGGGAGACGGTAAGCTGGTCTGAGTCTCCGAGTGAAGGACGGGGTATAAATCCAGTCTCTTCTCTTGGACCCCAGCTTGCTAAGTTTTGGATTACCACCACCTTTGGACTGTGATCCCTGGGAAGAGGAAGGGAGTCAGGGCAGAGCCTTGCACTTCCATTTCCTCTAGAAAACTCTACCTTCTCGCACCGTTTAGGTATCGTCCAGCCGGCTGAGGCGGCTCTAACCAGCCCCTACCACCAGGAACTGCAGGGGGTGATTGAGAGGCTGGTGCTGAAGGAACAGCGGCTGATCTGGAACAGCTTGGCGCGGAGCTGGTGAGCAGCGGGACTTGGCTGTGCGTGAGGGGGGCACTGGGGATTCTGGGGACGGTCCCCTTTCCCGACCTCTTCCGTCGTGGGCCCTTTGGCGCGGCCAATCTAGGAAGCCCTGTGGATGAGCCGACAGATGCAGGGGCACCTCTCGCTGGCCCTGCCCTTTCTGTATCAGTTCACTGTAGAGAACATGCACAGTTCTAGGGGGTTCTGCTTCCCCGCAAACCAACCCACGTACTGTTAAGTCGCAGCTGACTTATAACGGCACTGTAGGGTTTCCAAGGCAAGAGAGGGACAGAGGTGGTTGTCCGTTGCCTGCTTCTGCACAGCAACCCTGGACTTCCTCGGCGGTCTCCCATCCAAGTACTAACCAGGCCTGGCCCTGCTTAGCTTCCGAGGTCTGATGAGACTGGTCTAGCCTGGGCCGTCCAGGTCAGGGCAGGAGAGGGACAGAGGTGGTTGTCCATTGTCTGCCTCTGCACAGCAACCCTGGACTTCCTCGGCGGTCTCCCATCCAAGTACTAACCAGGGCTGACCCTGCTTAGCTTCCGAGGTCTGATGAGACTGGTCTAGCCTGGGCCGTCCAGGTCAGGGCAGGAGAGGGACAGAGGTGGTTGTCCATTGTCTGCCTCTGCACAGCAACCCTGGACTTCCTCGGCGGTCTCCCATCCAAGTACTAACCAGGGCCGACCCTGCTTAGCTTCCGAGGTCTGATGAGACTGGTCTAGCCTGGGCCGTCCAGGTCAGGGCAGGAGAGGGACAGAGGTGGTTGTCCATTGTCTGCCTCTGCACAGCAACCCTGGACTTCCTCGGCGGTCTCCCATCCAAGTACTAACCAGGGCCGACCCTGCTTAGCTTCCGAGGTCTGATGAGACTGGTCTAGCCTGGGCCGTCCAGGTCAGGGCAGGAGAGGGACAGAGGTGGTTGTCCATTGTCTGCCTCTGCACAGCAACCCTGGACTTCCTCGGCGGTCTCCCATCCAAGTACTAACCAGGGCCGACCCTGCTTAGCTTCCGAGGTCTGATGAGACTGGTCTAGCCTGGGCCGTCCAGGTCAGGGCAGGAGAGGGACAGAGGTGGTTGTCCATTGTCTGCCTCTGCACAGCAACCCTGGACTTCCTCGGCGGTCTCCCATCCAAGTACTAACCAGGGCCGACCCTGCTTAGCTTCCGAGGTCTGATGAGACTGGTCTAGCCTGGGCCGTCCAGGTCAGGGCAGGAGAGGGACAGAGGTGGTTGTCCATTGTCTGCCTCTGCACAGCAACCCTGGACTTCCTCGGCGGTCTCCCATCCAAGTACTAACCAGGGCCGACCCTGCTTAGCTTCCGAGGTCTGATGAGACTGGTCTAGCCTGGGCCGTCCAGGTCAGGGCAGGAGAGGGACAGAGGTGGTTGTCCATTGTCTGCCTCTGCACAGCAACCCTGGACTTCCTCGGCGGTCTCCCATCCAAGTACTAACCAGGGCCGACCCTGCTTAGCTTCCGAGGTCTGATGAGACTGGTCTAGCCTGGGCCGTCCAGGTCAGGGCAGGAGAGGGACAGAGGTGGTTGTCCATTGTCTGCCTCTGCACAGCAACCCTGGACTTCCTCGGCGGTCTCCCATCCAAGTACTAAACAGGGCCGACCCTGCTTAGCTTTCGAGGTCTGATGAGATCTGACTAGTTAGGTCTGGGGTGTCAAACATGCGGCCCGGGGGCTGGATCAGGCCCCTGGAGGGCTTCTATCAGGCCCGCAGTGGAACTGGCTGTCTTCTGCTCCTCCTTCCAGTTCTGCTGCTGCTGCGTCATCGTAGGTTTGCAGCTTACAGATACACACCCAAACAGCATGCTCAAGACTGCAGCAGCACAGACATTTTGAGGCAGTAATTCAGAGCAAGAGGTGTCAGTTATCAGACACGGTTAAATAAACAAAATATTGCCAGAGTGCTCATGTTTTCAGCATGTTTTTATTTTAAGTAAACCCTTTGTGTCTGTGTCCTTTATAAAGTTTGTATCTCCACCACCTGGCATTACATTTTATGACACACGTGGCCCGGCCCGACAAGGTCTCATTTATGTCAGATCTGGCTATCATGAGTTTGACACCCCTGAGTTAGGCTGTCCTGGTCAAAGCAGGCTACATATACCGACCTTTAAAGACGAAAGCAAAATGAATACACAAATCCCTCAGGTTGGATTTGGGATTCTTACATAGCTTCTTATGCTTCTCTGTAGAAACGCTTATACTGAATCAGACCGTTGGTCCATCGAGGTCCGTATTGTCTGCTCAGGGTGGCTGCGGCTCTCCAGGGTCTCAGGCTGAGATCTTTCCCATCACCTCCTGCCTGGTCCTTGACTGGAGATGCCGGGGACTGAACCTGGGACCTCCTGCATGCCAGGCAGAGGCTCTTCCACTGAGCCACAGCCCCTCTTTACAGCTCTCCAGGGTCTCAGGCTGAGGTCTTTCCCATCCCCCCCTGCCTTGTTCCTTTTAACTGGAGATGTCAAGGAGTGAACCTGGGACCTCCTGCATGCCAGGCAGAGGCTCTTCCACTGAGCCACGGCCCCTCTTTACAGCTCTCCAGGGTCTCAGGCTGAGGTCTTTCCCATCACCTCCTGCCTGGTCCTTTTAACTGGAGATGCCGGGGACTGAACCTGGGACCTCCTGCATGCCAGGCAGAGGCTCTTCCACTGAGCCACAGCCCCTCTTTACAGCTCTCCAGGGTCTCAGGCTGAGATCTTTCCCATCACCTCCTGCCTGGTCCTTTAACTGGAGATACCGGGGACTGAACCTGGGGCCTCCTGCATGCCAGGCAGAAGCTCTTCCACTGAGCCACGGCCCCTCTTTACAGCTCTCCAGGGTCTCAGGCTGAGGTCTTTCCCATCACCTCCTGCCTGGTCCTTTTAACTGGAGATGCCGGGGACTGAACCTGGGACCTCCTGCATGCCAGGCAGAAGCTCTTCCACTGAGCCACAGCCCCTCTTTACAGCTCTCCAGGGTCTCAGGCTGAGATCTTTCCCATCACCTCCTGCCTGGTCCTTTTAACTGGAGATGCCGGGGACTGAACCTGGGACCTCCTGCATGCCAGGCAGAAGCTCTTCCACTGAGCCACAGCCCCTCTTTACAGCTCTCCAGGGTCTCAGGCTGAGATCTTTCCCATCACCTCCTGCCTGGTCCTTGACTGCAGATGCCGGGGGATTGAACCTGGGGCCTTCTGCACACCCAAGCAGATGCTCTGCCACTGAGCCATGCCCTTTCCATAGACAGTCACCCAACTCTGAGCTCTAAGGCAGTAGAAGAAGTTTGTAAGTTAAGACTGTGGGCCAGAATGACATATGCACAATTTTGGAAACAGGACAGAGTACCAGAGAAGTGGGAATGGATTCAGAAAATGCTTTTTATGGCCGAAATGGACAAATTGACAAAGAAACTTAATAATAAAGAAGACTAAGAATTTTTTGCAGAATGGACAGACTTTAAGGAATATATGGAGACCAATTGGGGTGTTAAAAATAATTTACTTGGTTTTGATAATTATTAAGGACAGAATTAGAAAAAAGAAAATAATTGAATAGAAGAATATAAGGCTACCTGAAAAAATTGTAGTGAAAATGTAAAGTGATCGATGAACAGTAAAAGGGACAGGGGGGAGGAAGCATTGCGGGAAGCCACTGGAAGGGGGGGGGAGGAGATATGTGAAATGGATATATGTTAAAGGAAAAGGTGTATTTTTGAACATGTTCTTATGTCCAAAATAAAAAGTTTGATTTTTAAATTTTTTTTTAAAAAAGACTGGGAACCCATCCGTGGCACGGAGTGAATCCCCCTGGGTCCATCCGTGGCACGGAGTGAATCCCCCTGGGTCCATCCGTGGCACGGAGTGAATCCCCCAGGGGCCATCCGTGGCACGGAGAGAATCCCCCTGGGTCCATCTGTGGCACGGAGTGAATCCCCCAGGGGCCATCCGTGGCACAGAGAGAATCCCCCCGGGGCCATCCGTGGCACGGAGTGAATCCCCCTGGGTTGGGTGTGTGGTTCTTGCCACACTTTGGGAGCTTTGACATTCCCGCTCTTGACATTCCGTTCTCGTTGCAGGACGGACAGCGAGCGGGTGGTGCTGGAGCAGGTGCACATGACCCCCTTTGTCTTGGTGTCGCCTGGTGGCCGGGCGGCGGGACAGGTGAGCGTGGAGTCCCCCCTCCGTGCCGTCGAGCTGCCCTTGGAGACGGTGTACGAGCGCTTCCAGCAGACCTCCCACGGCTTCAAGGACCTGCTGGGCCACTACCTGAGCGGGGAGAAGCCCAAGGGTTTCCTGGAGACGGAGGAGATGCTCTTGGTCGGGAGCAGCCTCACCGGCATCGGGGAGCTGACCCTGCACCCGGACGGCTCCCTCCACCTCCAACCCCCGGCCGACGGCGCCGGCTACTTCCTGCGCCTGGGCGACTGGCAGACGCTGCTGGCTGAGCTGGAGTCCGCCAGCAGTTTCTGGAAGTGGGCCGCACTAGTCTGCGGCCTGGTAGCGACCGCCACACTCCTGCATGCCCTCCGTCGCGCCTACCGGCGCCACCGGCTCAAACAGGAGAAGGAAGAAGAGCAGCGAGCGTTCGAAGACCTCCGGCTCCGCAAGGGTCTGGCTCTGGAGCCGGACGAAGAGCTGCCTGCCAACACCTGCGTCATCTGCCTCACCAACCCTCGGCAGTGCGCCCTGCTCCCCTGCGGCCACGTCTGCTGCTGCTTCCACTGCTTCCAGGCCTTGCCCCGCCGCACCTGCCCCATCTGCAGGAGCCCCATCGACCGTGTGGTCCCCCTCTATCAGGCCTGACGAAACAGGGCTTGAGTGCCCTCTGGACGCCGTAGGGGGAGAGCTGGATACGTCTGCGGAAAGGGGTATACGCCACCTCACCCTTTTCTCATCCCTGGAGGGTGTTTCCAGACCTGCTGGTGCAATAAAGCTCCCTTCCGTTCTCTGGCTGACCTCGAAGCTGGCAGTACCGGGGAGCTGCAAGAGAGAAGGGGGGCTTTAATATTTGTTGCATTCATTGCAGGGAGGGGGCGAAGACAGCCCTTGAGCGGCTCGAATCAACCTGCAGGCTCAGAGCAGGAAACTCCGCCGGCAGTCAAAGGGAACGTAAAGACGTTAGGAATTGAAGATCTTCATCCCGTGCTCTCCCTTCCCTGCCGTTGTGACCTCATGGATTCCAGGCAAAGTTCTGTTCTGAGCCGACCTCCCAGAGCTGGGATAACGGCTCCTTGCCTCCATATCGGGGCTCCGAGGGAAGACGACTGTCCCCCTTTGCTTTCCTAGCAGAGGAGGCACCCTGTTCTCATGTTGTCCCCTACAGCAGAGTTTTATTTTTGTAACGTATCTGTTTTTTGGTGTGACATGGCAGGTATCTGCCACAGGAGCTGCTCGGGCGACAGGGTAAGGGGCTTTTAGTGTAGCCCCCGCTCCGGATACCTGCCTTTGGGGCCCTCAGCGGAGAGGCCGGGGCTTTGAGAGCAGTCTTCTGGCGCCTCCAGCATCAGAGGAGGGACAGTGAGGTATCCACACGAAGCCAGTGTGCTCTTGCAGGCAGCTTGAGGTGACGCATGCCAATCCCCCACCACCGGCAGCCTGAATCTCTCGCGGGTGCAATCCGACCCCCGCAGCTCTCGTAGCGAGCTCAGGGCAATTCCTTTCTTTTGAGCCAGATTGATGCTAGAACGTCTGCCCTGTTTAATTCCAAGTTCTCCTGGCAGGTACACTGGCGGTTCCCAGCCAGTCTCGGACACTTCCCCTTCCTTTCGAGACAGACAATCAATGAAGTCTTGGACGAATGGACCCAAGGGTTATACGGCACGGTCGGCTTCTGGGTTGCTGCTGAGGAACGGCCTCCTGCTTCACCCCCCCCACACCCTAGAGACGGTTGGCCTCATCGAGCTCTGCCTAAGCAGGAGAGATGGTTCCTTGATTTTTCTTAGCCTCACCCACCTGGTAGGTTGGACTGGTGTTTGTGTGTATGTGTGTGTGTGTGTGTGTGTGTCCTCCTTCAGGGAAGAGCCGAGCACACTGTAACACGTAACCGAGTGTGGTCAGGTGACGTGGTTGTCAAGCTGTTATCGATAAACCGGTGAACCCATCAGGGCCCGTCTGTCTCTTTAACAAAGGCGCCAACAATAATGGATGTTGAAAGGAAGGAAGGGCACGTGGCAGAATCGGGAGGGGAGCTCCTTATCTTCAGCCAGGAGGTCGCTAGGGGAGAGAGGCGGTGTCGGACGTGCCCCCTGCACAGATCTCTTGGCTTTTACCCTGCGCTCCTCCTGCCCCGGGCACAGTCTGGTTCCCACCATGAAACTCAAGGCAGAGGTGTCGAACAGCTGCCGTGCAGACAGCCAGCGCTCATCCACAGAATGTGAGCTGCAGGGCGCCCCCTGCAGGCAGAGAGCAGCTCTTGATCCGGTATATAGTACTGATGGAAGAGCAGCCTTACCCCACCTGGGCTCACAGCCTCCTACGTTCCGTGTCCTGTTTATTTGTGGGGTGGCGGCATGGCTGCCCTCTTTCGGGGGGCTGTTCCCAGGGTGATAACACCCCACTGCTCGGAAGGATTGGCTCATCGCCTTTCATGAAGACGGGCTAAGAGGAATCTGGCCAGAGACCCACCTCCGCCACGAGGCTGGCAGCGGGAGAGCCAGGGTGGCCGGAGAGCAGGTCCGGCGGTAGGGACAACCCCTCCCCTCCCCGTGCCAGATAACATCTAAACGGGGGCTTGGAAATGCCAGTTCGGTTGCCGTTTGCAGTTTCAGAGGCTGCTTACCTCTTGGTTTCCTGGAGGAGTGAGATGTCCGCGTCTGCCACCCCCAATTTGGCAATAGCGCTTAGTGTTAAGGAGCACAGAGGATCCCCCCCTTGCCTCCCTCTGCCCTTCAGTAGCCTCTGCACACCGAGGCCTTCCTTTTAAATCTCCCTGGCAAAACACTCTTTGGGCCTTAAAACCCCACCCCCACGGGTCCGATCCAGGCCCTTGAAGGAAGTGGCACAGAAATCAGCTGGGGGGGAGATTGAGCAAGCACTGTGGAAGGGAATTGCTCCTGTTGAAGCTCATTGTATGTGTGCGGGGGTGTATGTGTGTATAGGAGACTGGTTTCAAGGATCCGGGATTCAGCTGGCCAGGAGGCGGGAGCTCGCTGCCCCCTGCTGGTGCTGGGAGGAAAATCCCCAGCCGATGCAGCATTGACTCAGCATTCCTCGCCCACTTGGGTTGGGGTGCGTGTATACGCCCCCTCCCCCAGCGCAACGGAAACAAATAGCGCGAGGCGAATTCGCCTTTTGCAGAAGCTGAGGTTTTCTTTCCCAAGCACTTGCTTGAGATGGTCTGGAGAGAAAGAGGTTATCTTCTGTTGGAGAGAGACTGAAAAATGGTTAGGGGGGGGTAGTGCGAGGGAAGGATCAGGCCCTGGGGGGGGGGGTTGCTGCCTTCTCCTTGCAGGTGGGACCTCCGTGAAGTCAATGCTGGCTGTTAACTTGGGGAGTGGGAGTAACTTGCTCCTCCCTCTGCTAACCCCCCTGATGTGGTGCTGGAAGAGGAGCGCTGCTTTTCTGCTGTTCTCCTGCTCCTCACTTTAGAGAAGGGGGCCAGGAGATCCTTTCTTAATGTCACGGTGGGATTACGCCCGTCCTTGTTTGTAGCAGTGGGGTATGTGTACGCAACTGCATGCAAGGGTCTCTTTTGGGGCTAGAGCGGTGAGGTACATCAGCGTTCCAAAAGTCTGAGCAATACACGAAGGGAGGCGCTTTTGGTTCAATGGACGCACCGAACCACCAGTTCCCGTCTTGCGCCGAACAATTGTAACCAGCCACCGATTTCCATCTTGCGCCGAACAATTCTCACGGAATCTCCGTACAAGTTGTAATGTGCCTTTGCGATGTACCTGCGGAATTAAAAAAAAATGCCACCTTTGTGGTACACGTTAAATCCTTGTCCGCCTTTTCTTTGGAATAATAATAGATGTTTCTTACTTCTCCATGGAGTAGCCTCCAACCTTACCAGCCTGGCTAGGCATGGATCGTTATATGGGGACTGGTTTTAATATTTGTGCTGGCAAAGAGGTGGACTTCGGAGCCAGTCCCGGCTATCTCCAGCAGGCGGCGCAAGAGGACTGGCTTGATTTCCCCCCCCCCCCCCCCCCCGGCAGGGCGGTGGTGGTTGGATGTCCATAGAGCCTTCCTTGTATCCATCGCTGCGAAACACACACACAAAAAGGAAAATCCGTTCATTAGATTTAAAAAGACAGGAAGAGTTGAGGCGGCTTGTAGCAATTCTGGCAGATGGCTGGCTGGGGCGAACCTCTTGTCATGCTGCTCCGTTAAAAACAAAATAAGGGGGGTAAATCACAAAACAGAGAGCTGGTCTGTGGTTTCTCTACAGAGAGATCAAGATGGACAGCCCTGTGAGTTGAAAAGAGCGAGTATCCAGTAGCCCCTGAAAGGCTAACAAAATCCGTGGCACGGTGGGAGCTTTCGTAAATCCAGCTCTGCAGAAGAGAGGAGTGGCTCACAAAAGCGCTTAAGGTGAAGGTTCCCTTGCTCGAAAGCCAGTCGAGTCCGACTCTAGGGTTGCGGTGCTCATCTCCGTTTCCAAGCCGAAGAGCCAGTGCTGTCCGAAGACGTCTCCATGGTCATGTGGCCGGCATGACTAAACACCAAGGCGCACGGAACGCTGTTCCCACCAAAGTGATCTCTATTTATCTACTTGCAATGTCTTGCTTTCGAACTGCTAGGTTGGCAGGAGCTAGAACTAGAGACGGGAGCTTCCTCCGTCGTGCGGCACACTCGGGTCTCGAACTGCTGAACGACTGACCTTCCACGGCCTGAAGCTCAGCGTCTTAATCACTCGAGCCACCGCAGCTTCTCAAAAGCGCTTACCCTGCCACAGATTTTGTTAATCTTTCAGGCGCTACCGGACTCTTGCTCTTTTCTACTGTCGCTTTTTTAAAAATTGGGATAGTTTGCAGGGTCCTAATGCAAGGTGACCAAGCATTGTTATTGGGGGATATTTCCTCCTCCCCAAGCATCTATTCGGCTACCCTCAATTTTTATAGTCATGTCGTAAGTGTGTGTGTGAGTGCACCAGCCTTCAAGCTTTGCTGACTCACTCGCTAACTGAGTCACACACTCTTGCGGGGGAGAGTCATGAAATTATCGGGGACTTCCTGATGAGGCAGAGTCCTGAAATTTAGTGCACGGACCTAGTTTGGGGCAGTCCGATTAGCTGAGAGAGCAGGAGATCTGTGTATGAACTTAAGAGACACCAATGTTGGATCAGGCCAAAGGCCCATCCAGTCCAACACTCTGTCACACAGTGGCCAGAAATACCAGGTGCCATCAGGAGGTCCACCAGTGGGGCCAGGACATTAGAAGCCCTCCCACTGTTGCCCCCCCCCAAGCACCAAGAAGACAGAGCATCACTTGCCCCAGAGCCCCTATCTATACCTTGTGGCTAATAGCCACTGATAAACCTCTGCTCCATATGCCTATCTAATTCCCTCTTGAAGCTGTCCATGCTTGTAGCCGCCACCACTTCCTGTGGCAGTGAATTCCATGGGTTAATCACTCTTTGGGTGAAGAAGGACTTCCTTTAATCCGTTCTAACCCGACCGCTCAGCAATTTCATGGAGTGCCCACGAGTTCTTGTATTGTGAGAAAGGGAGAAAAGTACCTCTTTCTCTACCTGTTCTTTCCCATGCAGAATCTTGTAAACCTCAATCATGTCACCCCTCAGTCGTCTTTTCTCCAAGCTAAAGAGCCCTAAGCGCCTTAACCTTTCCTCATAAGGAAAGTGTTCCAACCCCTTTATCATTCGAGTTGCCCTTTTCTGCACTTTTTCCAAAGCTATAATATCCTTTCTAAGGTGTGGTGACCAGAACTGCCCACAGTATTCCAAATGAGGTCGCACCATTGATTTATATAGGGGCATTATGATATTGGCTGATCTGTTTTCAATACCCTTCCTAATAATCCCCAGCATAGCATTGGCCTTCTTTATTGCAGTCACACACTGTCTCGACATTTTCAGTGAGTTATCTACTATGACTCCAAGATCTCTCTCTTGATCAGTCTCTGCCAATTCAGACCCCATCAATGTGTATTTATATTTAGGATTTTTGGCTCCAATGTGCATCACCTTGCACTTGGCCACACTGAACCCCATTTGCCATGTTGACGCCCACTTGCTCATCCTTGACAGATCCCTTTGGAGTGCCTCACAATCCTCACTGGTTTTCACCACCCTGAACAACTTTGTATGATTTGGCTGCTGCATCAATTAGTTTGCTCTGGAGCCATCCCTTCCTGAGCTAACACAAAAGTGTGTGAGCCCGGAGGCTATAAAAAGCCGTGAGCTGGCTCACACTAACTCAGCTTAGAGGGAACACTGCTGGCAACAGACTGAAACAGCATGGTCAGGATGTATCCCCATGGCCCAGGGACCTAAAATTTGGTACATGTGCTGTCCAAGGCCGACTGATTAGGCAACTGGCAAGGGGGTCATTTCATACGTTCCTTCCTCCAAAAAGGGAGATGGAGATGGCGATGTGTCCCCCAAAGTGGTTAAAGTGATCCCATGGTAGCGAGAAATGTGCAGTTTGGCATACATCTAATCCGAGAGACAGAGATCTCTCTTGGGTATTTTTACATCTAGTGCTTAAAGCTGAGGCACGGAGTTCACGTTCAAGAGAAGGCAGAAGACTGGTGCAGCGGCGAGAAAATTGTGCATGATGGTATATGAGTTTTTCTAGACACCTGGGATTCAGGGAAGAGGAGCCAGTGCCTGCACTGTTTATTTTTGCCCTGCTTTTCTTCCCATTGAGGAGGCAAAGTGGCTCACAAAACCATTTCCCCCTCCTCTGCTTTATCCTCACAACCACTCTGCGAGGTAGGTTCGGCTGAGGGCGTGTGGCTAGCCCAGGGTCACTCAGCAAGGCTTTCCATGGCAGAGCAGGGATTCGAACCTGGATCTCTCACATCCTAATGCAAATTCTAACCTCTATGCCACGCTGACTTGTCTGTAGGGTTGCCAGCCCTGGAGATTTTGAAGGTGGAGTTAGGAGAGGGGGGGGTCCTCAGCGGGGGATAATACCGTAGAGCAGGGGTGTCGAACTCATTTGTTTTGAGGGCCGGATCTGACATACATGAGACCTTGTTGGGCCGAGCCACGTGTGTCATAAAATGAAATGCCGGGTAGCGGAGATGTAAACTTTATAAAGGACACAGACACAAAGGGTGTTTTTTTAAAACTTAAAATAAAAACATGCTTAAAACATTAGCACTCCTGCGATATCTTGTTTACTTAAAAGTGTCCGATAACTGACTCCTCTTGCTCTGAAGTATTGCATCAAAATGTCTGTGCTGTTGCAGTCTCGAGCATGCTGTTCAGGTGTGTATCCGTAAGCTGCAAACCTACGATGACGCAGCAGCAGCAACAGAACTGGAAGGAGAAGCAGAAGACAGCCAGTTCCACTGCGGGCCTGAGAGAAGCCCACCGGGGGCCTGATCTGGCCCCCGGGCCACATGTTTAACACCCCGCCGTAGAGTCTACCCTCCAAAACAGCCATTCATAAGATTAGAGGGTGGAGCCTAGGGAGGGGGGGTTGGGGAGGGACTTCAGAGGGGTATAACACCATAGAATCCCCCTTCCAAAGGGGCCATTTTCTCCAGGGGGATTGATCTCTGCCACCTGGAATTCAATCATCATCCCAGGATATCTCCAGCCACCACCTGGAGGCTGGGAACCCCACTTGTTGGTGCATCTCTGCACCTTCATTTGCCAAGATATGTAAAGCATGATCTTGACCAGTGTTCCCTCTAAGCTGAGTGAGTGTGAGCTAGCTCACAGATTTTTAGACTCCGGCTCAGACATTTTTGTCTTGGCTCAGGAAGGATGGCTCCAGAGCAAACTCATTGATGCAGGAGCCAAATCGCTCGCTCACAACTTTAATGCCAGGAGTTCACAGAGTAGAATTTTTGCTCACAAGACTCCACAGCTTAGAGGGAGCATTGCTCCAGGGTGAACTAATTTATGCAGCAGCCAAATTGCTTGCTCACATCTTTAATGCCAGTAGCTCACAAAGTAGATTTTTTACTCACAAGACTCCACAGCTTAGAGGGAGCATTGGTCTTGACCCACCATGTATCAGAAGGCAACCATCTGCAAAGGTTTCCTGTCAGATCAAAGGTCCATCTGATGAAGAAGAAGAGGAAGAGGAGAAGGAGGAAACTGGACTTATACCCTGCCCTTCATTACCCAAAGGAGTCTCAAAGCGGCTTGCAATCTCCTTTCCCTTCCCCTCCTCACAACAGACAGCCTGTGTAGGTGGGACTGTGAGAGCTCTCCCAAGTACTGTCCTTGAGAGAACAGCTCTGAGAGAACTTGTGACTGACCCAAGGTCACACCAGCAGCTGCACATGGCAGAGTGGGGAATCAAACCCGGTTCTCCCAGATTAGAGTCTGCCGCTCTTAACCACTACACCAAACTGGCTCTCCAATCTCTTTCCTTTCCCTTACAATCGCCTTCCTTTCCTCTCCCAACAGATACCCTGTGAGGTAGGTGGGACAGAGAGAGCTCTGAAGGAGCTGTGACTAACCCAAGGTCACCCAGCTGATGTTCTTATGAAGGCCTCGGCCTCTCTGTCCTGTTGTAGGCCCTCCAGAGAAACTGGTTGGCCACTGTGTGAGACAGGATTCTGGACTAGATAAACCCTCACTGGTCTGATCCAGCAGGGCTCTTCTGATGTTCTTATGAAGGCCTCAGCCTCTATGCCCTGTTGCTGGCCCTCCAGAGGAACTGGTTGGCCACTGTGTGGGACAGGATGCTGGACTAGACAGACTATTGGTCCGATCCAGCAGGACTCTTCTGATGTCCTGACGTTCCAGGCTTCACAGGGATATCCCT